TGGTCACTGGGCAGTGAGAATCCACCTTTCCCTAGAACAGCATCCAGCATCTCATAGCCTTTATAAGCCATGAGTTGGAAAAACCCAGCTCTGGTCTGACATGGGCTGGGGGGACTGTGGCAGTACATCAGCATTAGGGTGATTCGTCTGCCCCTGCACTGGGGACAGGCTGCTGGGACCTGTGCTTACACTGCTGCTGCTTCTCCCCAGTGGTGGCGTGGGTGCAGGTTCCAGCTAGTAGGGAGCCATGCCAGGGCTGGGCAGCTGGAAACTTCTCGTTGCCCTCCCCAGCCTCCTAGCAGTGGCATGGGTGTAGCTGGAAGCTGCCTGGCCCCAGCACAGCTCCCCACTAGCTGGAAGCTGTGCCCAAGCTGCAGTTGCAGGAGAAGGAGCAGGAGGGTGGGATGGAGAAGTGTCAGTGGTGGGAGTGTGGCTTTCTGGTGCTTGACCCTTTTACACCTCCTTACTACCCAGTCCTCTGGCTCTGCAGATTTGGCTCTTGGGCTGTACCTTGCCAACCCCTTTCACAGAACAATGAAAATGCAGAAGAAGGTGAAGCTTTCTGGTTGAAATCACTTTGAATTAAACCAATCTAACCAGGACAGAATTAAACATCTGTGTTTATATCATTCTCTCATCGTGATAACTGAATTCATCCTTGGGAACAGCATGCCAGTGGAGCCTGATGGACTGCATAGGTGTCATTAAGGTTTGCAGTGTTGCTTGATATGGGCTAAACATTTCAATATGTGGGAGAATCTCCTCACTCCTTATTGAAAACCACGCTTTTTGAATTTGCATTTCAAAAAGACTTCTGGACATCGCACAGGAGTGGCCAGACATCAGCTCAGATCCTTGAAATTTGCCACTGTCTTAGAAAGTTCTTCCAAACAGATACCAGATGTTTTTTGTCTCTCTACAGTGCCTCATATATCTGGGTCCCCACCTTGCTATGGTGACATAATTATAACCCTTCTTTTGATTCTGGTGGTTGCTCATAACTAGCACATCAGAGAAAAGCCAGATCTCTGCATAAAAACAATGTTTCAGTAGCTCGCAGTGCATCTAGTTCAGTCCAGCTAAGCTGCTCTCAGTGTGATACTGAAGGGAAGAGAGTGTGAAGATGGTGCTAAATTTCCTTTCTATTTAGGGTGGCCATTGGTCCTGTTTTATATCGGACTGTCCTGTTTCTAGACCCTTTGTCCCCATTCTGAATGAGGAATGGACTGCAAAAAGTCCTTTTGTCACTTTATTGGTGGAAATATATGTCAATCATTTGTCCTTGTGATTCTATTGGCTATGCCAGGAGGTAGGGTAGTGCATAGCCAAGAGGAGCTGGGTTTCCAGCCAGCCAGGGAGGAAGGGAGGTGGCCTTTTTGTGGTGTCCCTGGCCCCTGCTGCTGCTTGGCCAAGGGGCCCGGTGGCCCTGCCCCTCACCACTGATTGGCCAAGGGGGCTGGTGGTCCTGCCCCTCACCAAGGGGATGTTCTGTATTCTGGGGATACATCAGTGGGTACCCTATTTCTGTTCCTTTACATAAATTAAAGCAACCTCACAACACTTTATTTTTTATTTATGTCCTTCTGCCCACAGTTCCAAGGGGCCACTCCAGCAGCCTGAAGGCATCAGATGTAAGGTCACACCCCCTCTCTGTTAGGACATTTTCTTGCTCTGGAGGCCATGTGGAAGTTTTGCACTGCCCAAGGGATGCCTTGACCTGGGACTGGTCTGGTGTCATGTATTTAGTCAATTCCTGCCAGCTATCAACTTATGCTTTGAAGAAAGGGATCTTATTAAATCTATATGGGCAGGAAGTACCGCACTGTCATGCTGGAAGATTTCAGAAACTAAGCAGCAGTGGGATGGACTAATACCACAGTGCCAAAAGAACCCCTCAGAGGTGACAGCACTGGAGCTGCTGATTCAATAGGTGATGTTGTTCAGTGCTGAGCCTAGGATCCAGCATAATATTAAGTGAAACTGTGATGCTTTCATAAAAAGTCAATAAGGAACCCATGGTTTGTGTTTGATTTCAGTTTAGGTGGGAGGGGGATGTAGTTGCCCCACATTAACATTTCATCTGCACAGTAACTCCCATGTGCAGACCACACTCTGACTTTAGGTAATGATGTTCTGCCTATCTAAATTTTCCCCTGCAGCTTCAGCTCAACTCACTGCTCTTCTTCCCTTTTCTCACTGCACTTCTGTGTAGAATCTCTGTGTCTTGTTTAAAAGCTGCTACGCTCCAGCTGAATGGTGGATGCATTTCAGTGACATATAAGGCATTTCTGGTAGAGATGTATTCTTGCCGTTGTACAACACAGCGGTAAGTCCTCATCTGGAATACTATGTACAATTCCAGCTACCCAGTGTCAAGAAAGAAGAATTCAGACTGGAACAGGTGCCGACAAGGGCTACTAGGATGCTCAGGGGAATGGAGAGCCCTTCTTTTGACAGAAAATTAGAAGAAATTAGATTTTTTAGCCTAGCAAAAAGGAAGGCTGAAAGGGGATGTGATTGTTCTCTGTAAATATATCAGGAGGACAAACAGCAGGGAAGGAGACGGCTATTTAAGCTAAAGGACAAGGTGGGCCCAAGAACCAAGAGGAATAAACTAGCTATGAAGAGATTCAGACTGGCAATTTAGATGAAGGTTTCCAACCATCAGAGTAGTGAGGTTCTGGAACAGTCATTGGAGGGGCAAAAAATCAAGCTAGTTTTAAGATGGAGCTTGTGAATGCAGTTAGATTTCCCGAGTACCTGCAGTATTGGCAGACTGGATGCAATGACCCTAGGTTGTCTCTTCCCCTCTTGTATTCTAGTTCCTTGTATTTAATAATCCCTGTAGATCCCTGTTCTGCCTCCTAAGGGTATCGACTGTTTGTGAAGCACAAAATACTTTAGTAACAAATCGTAGGGTGAAGTCCAGATTTTTAAAAAGTTCTTCTTCCCAACAAGGGCTAATAATATGGGGCAAATAGGATGATGTTCTCCAATGGAAAACGGGGCAGCAAAAGACACAAAGCAGTAAGGCAGTCTACTGTTATCATTTCTGAGTTGTGATTTTCATTAAGGTTTTCTGCTGTAAAGAGTGCTACAAGCTGAAATCTGAATGTATTATGCTATTATCATCTAGTAATCAAAGCGGAAGGCAGTATGTTACTTCAGTATATACAAGCATGTGTTTCTAGGCTCTTTTAGCTTTCTGCAATATAAGGCTGTTGCCACATACTGTCAAAGATGGTTAAACACAACAGAGTGTAGGAATTGCATAGTGCTCTAATCACACACTGTACAGTGAGAAGGAAATGCTAAGCATCTTTGATTGTCACTGCGACATGACAGTGTGCCTTCTGTGGGTTTACTGGATATATCATTAAGTTACTGATGTCTGTCTCACAATGAGCAGTGAAATGACCTAGACTCTAGTAAGAACGCAGCACTGAAATGAAAGAGAATTCCTTTTTTAAGGTACATCGTTTGTTTCTTTGTCTCAGCTACAAGCTTAGAAATTTATTTTGGCTTCTCTCTATAGCTCCAGCTTTCTTTCCTGTCAGTGGTAGGAGGCTCTGTAAATGCAATCAACTGTTCTTAAAGGAGAAACACCGAGAACGTAAAGAGAATGAGATAATATCTCAGCTAGAGGGCTCCATATGTTGATGGCAAGGTATAGTAAACTGAGAGAGAAATAGGATTAGAATTGTTCTAAGTACCTATGAACCACACATGGTACGAGGAAGGAAATAACATTTTCTAAATGTACAACACTCTTGCCAAGAGTACAGGTGAAAAATTTTTATTTGAGTGCAGACAGATGGGAAGCTGAAGTTAGGCTGGCATTGGCATTATGCACTAGTGTAATTTAAGACATAATAAACAACACCTACCATGCATCCCAAAGGCCAGGTCCTAAGCACTTTCTAACATAGGGTTCACAACCAGTAAAAAGTAAATACCAGCACAACATAAATAAATTGGGCTGCTAATTCATCAGCAGATTTACTTTAAGGGATTAAAGGTTTAGTTTAATGTTTCCATTGATGTGACATTATGGTCTGAATGGAGATCATGACTGAATTGATGCTCTTTATCTATATTTAGTTCTCTCCTTCAAAAGAAGTGACTGGGACAGAGAAAGGACAAAGTAAATGATGCCCTCTTGTGAGCTGGCACATGCTGTTCTTTCCCTTAATGAGCTGGTTTTATTAAACAAAATCCAAAATACAATAGGTGAAAACTGTATGGTACGTTGAGAGGCAGGACTCCTTAGGGCGATAATGAATCTGTCCCTTGTTTTCTGCTTGGCACTGATACAGATGATGTTTGTAAATCAGTTTTGTGCTGCAATCTAAGAATGGGCATGAACTCTTCTGTGAATCTGCTCCAATCACATGCATGTGCTGACATTTTATTTTCTATTTAATCCCAAAATATCATCATATTCTATTTCTAGACAGTAGACAGAACTGTAACACTCACAGCACAGTTAAAATGCAGTATTTTATTCAAACTGATTTCAAGGCAATGTGCCATTGAAATTTAAAAAAGAGAAAGGCAACAGCAGACAAAGCAAAGTGCCTCAGTGACTTGATGTTCTAATAATACTAATGGCAGACATGTTGCTAAATGAACTAGTTTCCAAATCTGTGCTAAACCAGACTAAACACTGATGAGCCAAAGCCTTAGCCGGATTTTTTCTAGTCCTTACCCAAGCAAATCTGACTGACTTCAACTGGGAATTTTCCTGATGAGGGTTAAATAAAATCCAGGTCAGGACCTCATTGTATTTTAAACACGTGTGATGCATTGTGTACTACCGTAAGAAAGAATCATGATGCAACAAAAGGGTAACTGTAGAATCAAAGTGTATAGCTAGAATTCTGTCTTCGAACAAATGGCTCTGCCAATCCTGAATTTTTAAATCACCTCATCTTTCAGCTTGTTGATCCTTTAATATCTACTTGGCATTCCACAGAATATCTCAGAAGTTTAGTACTTACATATACATGGGCTGTAGCTGTAAATGAGATGTCTTCTGTGGGCCTTGATAGCCGTAAGAATCAAATCCACCTATGAAATCAACTGAAAAGGAAAAATTGCTTTCATTAACAGCATCTTTTCAGAAGAGACAGTAACTATCATCAAACTTCCACACAGACTACTTTGGAAAGACTCAGGAATAATCTATTAAAATTAGAGTGACTAATTGTAGAGATCGCAAAAAAAGAAGAAGTTAAAAAATGGATAAAAGGCAGTATCTTTTAGATAATGATTTTATAATTCATCAGCAACAGACAATGCTGGATATAAAAAATCTTTCTCTCCACAAGAGAGAATTATATATCACATTACATTTTTCTCAAATAGACCACCTCACTGGAGTATAAAAATTACATTTTATTCAGATATTACAAATACTGCAAACCATTTATTTATTGGCATGAATGCACTGCAGCTGACTGTGATTACTGTGTCAGGCTTGTTGACATACTGTGGTTCAGTGATCTAGAGAAGAAAGCGCATTGATCCTATTTGTTTGAGAGACAGAAGTTTCTGATTCCCTGCTTTGACATTTGAGTTGAAATGCAAAAGCCGAGGCTTGGAACAATTTATCTGCACATTAGAAATGGGACTTCACAATTCAAAGGAAAATGGGATCTCTCCCTGGACAGTGGAAGTTTATGAATGGGGAGTTATTTTCTAATTCACATCACTGCCTGTGCACCATGGGCTCTCTGTATTTATTTTAAATCATTTTCAAGGTAGTATAGTCACATCTCCTTTGAGACACATTGGACAGCTTAAATAACAGATCTGGCAAATCATGTTTATGAATAACTTTGACTCAAGTGTATGCCATACTTAAGCATATGGTACATATATATATATATCATACTTAAACATGAACACAACCAACTTTTAAATGACCTCCAAGCATAAGGTGAACAGCTTTTAGAAGATGCCAGCTATTACAAAACACTACTGTTTGTCCTCAGCAACAGAGGCTACCAGGAGTACATTGGACTTTTCCTTTAAGTGTCCACAGAACCGTAGAAATGTAAGACTGTAAGGGACCTTAGGAGGACATCTAGTCCATCATTCAGATCTGAAGCAGGATAAAGTATGATTAGATTATTGCAGAAAAGTGCTTTTCTAGTTACTTAAAACTACCACTGAAGGAGATTCCACAACCTTGCTAGTTAGCCTATTGTAATGTTTAACTAGCCTTAGATTAGAAAGATATTCCTAATATCTACCCAAGTTACACTCAACCATTCAGGTTGGAGGAGTGATCCAGAGCTGATCTGCAGGCCAGACCTCCTGCTGGGGTGGTTACATCTGCTGACCTGATCCAGTGTGCTGGGTCTGGCCAAGATGGAGAGAAAGGGATCACAGAGAAAGCTCATGGCTACATGTTCAAAAATGGGGTTTGTAGCTTGATAAAAGATTCATCAACGGAGTATATAACGTCACACACAATTCCTAAATTATACAGATATGTTCCCCAAATCATCAGACTCACTCCTTACCTTCAAGGCATTTAATGATTTAGATCAGGCATATTTAAAAGACTGATTAAACCTCTGAGGTAAGAACTGTGGTCAACAGCTCCACTTCTCACAAGACAACTTTTCACTCCCTGACATAATTACACAGTGCTCCAATCTACAATTTTCCTAGTCACCCCTCTTACACAATATACCTATCCTTCTTGTACATTATCCCATTAATATGGCAACCTCACCCCCTTATATTATCAATGAAGGTCTTCCTTGCAGCCCTTTGTATAGACTGTGTATTTCAATCATCCTTAAATATGCAAACATTATGTTAACTTTGTGAAATCATAAATATTTCCTTGGAAGCTGACCCACGTAATAAACACAGGATTATGATTTTATTACAAGAGTAGGCAGAAGGATGTACCAGATTTAGAAGAAATGAGTGAGCTCTTTTTCAAACATAGCAACATAACAAGATGGGTGTGAAAGACTGCTGGACTGATTGCAGTGAATATTTTTTTTGTATAAATGCTCCCTTTTTTCTTTTCAATCTTGCCCAGAATTCAGACTGTAAACTTTTGGGAGTAGAGACTTATATGGTATAAATTAGTGCCAACTAATAATCCGTTTCCCTTGCTATATATCTTGTGTATGTTTTCAGTGGCACATGTCGTGGTGAGCTATAGATCAGCATATCAAAATCATTAGGTCTTGCAGGCAGGATGACTGTCATAGGGCCAGTCTGTGGGCTGGATCAGTCTACTAACTGCCATGTGTGCTGGATCCAGCATGTGAAGCCAGTTTGTTGCAGACATTGCATGTAGCATGCGCAATGGCCCGGTCTCTGTATGCTACATGTAATGTACCCTTGGGCTGGGGCTGGTGCTTGCTGAATGTGGAGCCTGTCCAAGATTCATGGGTAGCATCATGGGCTGGATGATAGGGCTCTGCACCCTGCTGTAAATAATAACCGAAGGCTGCTAATGTCACAGACACAGATGCTCTGTTTTAAAAATATAGGAAGACAGATCTTGACAGGAATTTCTAGGACCATATCCAGTTAGGGTGACCACCATTTCAAAATGGGAAGGCAGAATGCATGAACGGCACATGCCCCTGGTGGCTGGGGTGGCACAGCTGTGCTGGTGGTGGTGGGAGCACAGTGGTGGTGGCAGGAGCGTGGCAGCGGTAAGCGCAGAGCTCCCACACATGTTGACGGCACTGTTGGTGGGGGGGGGGAAGGTGATGAGCGTTGGCCAGGGCCTGGGGACCACCCACAGGCACCACTGGCAGTGTTCTCATCAGCCAGCGGTGATTGTTGATTGCCGGCAGTTGCCACTGGCGGTGTCGGTAGTGGGGTGATGAGCAGTGACTATCTGCACGAACTGCCGACAGTGTTGGCTGCACCTTTTTGCAGGGGTGCACATGCACCCGTGTGCATCCCCTACATGTTGCCCCTGCCAGAATGCATGCCTGCCTATCCCCTCCCCACCCCTCCACCTCCTCTGCCGGCAGTGAGTCAGCAGGGAAGCCGAGTGGAGTGGGGTCAGATGTGGGCTGTCTGCTGTGGTCTTGGAGCTCCTTGTCCTGCTGCCCTTCCCCCAGGAGCTCCATGTTGACTGCATGCTGCTGTTACCAGGCAGGCAGGGGGTGCCTTGCCATGGTGGCGCAGGGCTTCTGTGGGGAGGGCAGCAGGGTGGGGAGCCCTGAGTCTGCAGCACAGCCTGCAACTGCTCCCACCCCATGCACAAATCTGAGGGGATACATGCCTTCCAGGAATGAGCACAGCAGTGGACAGCATTGCCTCTCCTGCCCGCTGGATGAGCCCCCTGTGGCTCCATCCTGTTCCCTGTCCCAACCCCAGGTCAGATGCACTGTCCTGGCTGGGCAACACCCCCAGCCCCTGCCTTACACCATCCCTCAGCATGTTACCCCCTCCCCTATAGACCTACGTGCAGGGAGCTGCTGTCCATGCTTCCTGGCTGTATTCCCAGCCATGTGCATATGTGCAGGCATGCATATGCATGTGGTGCCTCCTCTCCCCCCGCAGAGTCTCACTCCTGGCAGCCCCAAGCAGCCCCTTGCAGGCTGGCAGCATTCCACCATTTCCCATGGGGAACGGAAAAGCTGGATCCTTGTATGACACTGAGAATCCAGGACAAATGTTGTCCCAGAGTCATGCAGCCTAGGACCAGGACTTGAGGTTCCCATTTCATGATTATCTCACCGAATTAGGGATGGGTAGTCACCCTATTTCCAGTAAGCTAAACTAAATTGATAAGAAACAGGATCCCAGCAATTAAAGGAGATTTTGTGGGCATATGAGAGTAATGTATGCACCTTATTTCTCCATGGTTGTTATGTCTGTGTCTCTATCCTGTTGAACAAAGGAAACTCAGAGTGGAAACAGGCCAGACTACGCAGTGACAAACAAGATGGGTTTGGAAAGGCGTTTCTGTTTGAAGCAGGCAGTAGAACCTCCCCATTTACATAATCAGATCACGATAGTGGGGCGAACATGATTGTGCCCTTGTTAAAGTTGTACAATGGCTCCTTATGCACAACTTTGCAAGTGAACTGGAAAGGGTGGGTAATAAGATGTAAACTCCAATGTGGAAAGTGTCAGTAATTTCTTTTGCAGTAGATTTTCTTCATGGTGGCAGCATCTCAGTTAGCACTGCAAAGCCTGTGGTGCCCAGACTCTGCTAAAAGCTCCCTGTGGACTATGAGCTAGTTTTTCAAAGCATGCAAAAATGCTGCCCTTTCTGCTGGGCATTTTATCCTGGCTGTGCCTGAAAGGTCACTAAAAGTGTCATACTACTGCTATGCTCCTGGCAGCAGTAACATGAGATGAATAAAATAAGGTTCATTAGCTGAATGACTACAGATGCTTCCATTCCTAACCTTATCCATCAAACACATTTTTCCCCACTGTATCTTATTTTTATTTTACATACCATCCTTCACAAATCAGATCTTTAATCATGTTTTTTGTAACACACATGAACACATACAAGCCCATTCACGCATCTCAGCAACAGCTGAGATTACCTTCTTTCTAAGTAACCTGCCTTAATTTTTTAGGAATAAATGAGAGCATTACCATATTAAAAATGAGTGCCTTGCTTTTCTTTTTGGGGCTCTGAAGCTCTTTCTTGCCTCACTGATATTATTCTGCTCTTTTGGTGTAAGGTTTACAAAAGAACTATGAACTTTTTCAAGGGAATATGGTACAAAATAAGAGACATATTTTCTATTAATAAATGCTGTCTAAGGATCTGATCTCGTGGGCCTTACACGCAGTCACAACTTTCACTGACTTAAATGTGTGTGAGCTCCTGGAGTGGGTTTGTAAGTCTATATTTGTTTCTCCTCTTTAGTTGTTGGAAATTTGTTGGAGTGTAAAGGGCCTATTAAGATGGGATGTGTACACCAGAAAACAAGTGGGGTCCGTTAAAATGGGCCTATATATGAGAATCAGAAGTCTTTGAAGATCAGCAGAGAAGAACAAAGAAATAGCTGAAATAAACAGATGGATAAAATAGGAAGGAAATAATGTGATGTTAAATATAAAAAATA